TTGCCTGTCAGAATATTCTACAGCCATTGGTATACACATACAGAGTCCGTGTATAGGTGTACCACCTTCGCCAACCACTGTAATACCAGATTTATACCTTTCACCGTGGCATCCAATTCAGCCAGGTTTATATGTTGCGCATTATTTTTATTTCTTGGTCGAAGCCATCACGCATCTTCCTGTATAACTCCAATTTTCCAACACCACACCTACTGCCAGGGAGCTTGCATCAATCTATGCATTGACTTCTTCTCCAGTCATGCACCAGTCTCCCCAAATGGGGTTGTCTTGGTGCACTCTAGTCAGCGTTTCAATGATCAAGGCCTAAGAGGGGCATCTTTTACAGTGTCATGCCACCCATTTGTTACTATGCTTGCTTGTCTTCAAGCAGTGCTTCTTTCCTTTGACGATAACCATTTGGAAGGGCCATAACATCTCATGGATTCGTATTTGAAGATATGCTTTTCACAGGTCAAGCAGAGCCACATTAGCTCCTTGCAGGTTTGACAGCGGTTTCCACTGATTATTGAACGGGAACATCCTGTGTCAATGAGAGCCAATCATTGCACGCCATTCACTCGTACTCTGACTATAGGATATCTGGACTTACTGATTGACAGGGGGCAAGAATGGCGACAGTTCCTTGTCTCTGAGCTCATTTCCCGGACAGTTCCACACAAGACGACCCAGATTGTTACAGCGATTAGAATGCAGTTTACTACTATTCCTACTCCCTGTATTACTTCAACTCCTGCATTCTCAGGAGACCGCCACACTTGTACCATTTGGGGTCCTCATGAGCTATTTCGGCTGTACTTTGACAATAATGGACCGGTTCAATTTAAAATTAATAAAAGAATTTGATGGCTTCCCCACTGGTCTGTCTATTGCTGAGTGGTTTGAGAAAGTGGAGCGTGTCAGCAAACTGTTCAAAATCAAAGAGCCCGCATTGGTCATCCTGTTGAGGCTAACAGTAGGCGCTTATGCAGTCTACAAGCAACTCGGGGACAAAGTGGACTTGGACAAAATCAAGTATGCCCTTTACACAGCATTTGGCACGAACGAGTTCATTGCTTGAAGGCAATTTATTGGGCAGCAACTCCTCCCTGGGGATACAGTTGATGTATACCTGGCTGATATAAGAAAGTTGTTGGTACAATTTGGAGGTGTTAACAACTGGATACTGGCATGTGCATTTTTGGATGGTCTACCCATTGATGTCAGCCGGCTTCTGCAAGCATCATCAAAGCCAGGGGAGATGGGTATCGACCAGCTACTGACTAGAGCCTGAAACATTTTGAAGGAGTCAGAGCACGTTGCAGCAGCTGTGCGGACAGAGGAGGCCATGTGTAAATCATAAGAGAATGCTGCTGGCAACAGTTGCGTCCCCATAGCTCATGTGGTCCCCAAATGCTACAAGTGTGGTGGTGCAAATCACCTCTCCCGAGCTGCACTTCCCTGGTATGCATGACCATAACACCACCTAGTTTATGTATGGGATCGATTCCGATCAGCAAATTGTACTGCAGAAGCTTGTCACAAACCACCAGTGCACAATCACCTCCATCTGTTAGGATTTAAATTTTTAGTCTTTTTCATTTTTATCTTTCATTGTACGCCTGTCTTCAATATAAGAGTTTCAGAATAATTCATTTTCGCTTTTAATGCCGGTCGTGATCTTTCAACAAGACCTGACACACCAAGCAAATTCGCTTTGCGGGAGGTAAGTCTTCTTGTTCCTCACAAGATCCTTGATCATCATCTATTTGTATCACAAAAGGCTTATATCACAAAACCATTAATATCCACTATACTGTCCAAACTAAGCATTAATGTGTTAATACAAATACATTTAAATAATCTATTTTCACATAACCAACTTATAAAAACAGAATAAGTTCCAACAAATGACAGGGATTGATCAAAATATGTTATGAATAATCAAGAATGTCTCTCCTAGTTTTGTTACTCTCATCTTTGAGAAAGATATTTCTGTTTACTGAGATTATAAAAGGACACTATATACAAACCTTGTATTCTCAGTTGAATAAAGCTTTCTTAAAGCCTCCACCTGTGTACTTTTGTCATTGCAATATAACCTAACATATATTTATTAGTTGAATTTTGATCTGAAATTTTCATTGTATAATGTTTGATCTATGTGATTAATATTCCACAAAGGATTAATTACATTGGCAAGGAATTATATTATTGGTAAAAATATTGTGTAAATTTTCTTCTTTTTTTTTTTTTTTTTTTTCACCATTGAACTATGGATTTATTTGTTTACCTACATCAAATTTTTCATATCTGTTTATTGTGTCTACTAACAAATATTTCTTCCTGAATGTTTTTAATATTTGAATTCTGTTGTGATAGAAGCTGGTTCAGAGACATGCAATAAATTAATAACATTGGATTATCTTTAGATGAGGGATAAGAAATCTCCAGTCTTATCTTACATTAATTAGTTTAGGTTATAATTTAACTAATAAATCCTTCAGCTAATTATTTGAAGAAAGATAAACCGCATTATAGCTGCCAAAACTTTGCAATATTAAATCCAGATATACTTGAAGGTGTCTGTATTTTATTGTCTTTTTCTTCCTTTAATTTTAAAGTGGTTTTGTCTCTTCCTTTCTCTTTGTTCATACTAGTCAATAATTTTCAGTTTTTTATTATCTTAAAATAATTATTTTCAACAGATGTTTAATGCTCATTAAAAAGTCATAAAATTATCAAAATTACTTTCACACATTAGTATACATTGAACTTTTCACATTCTTGATAAATAGCTATGGAATGACCAAAATAATAAAACAGGAAAGAAGAAAAAAGGAAATACCAAATCAGTCTTATAAAATAAATCATTTTAAAGTAAAATTACATTCTGATTCAGTAAATGAAACTAAACAAAGCCAAATTTTGAGGTAATATACCTGCAACTTAATTACATAAAAATATTTAAGTAGATATACAACAGAAATAGTAAGAAAAATCAATATTGGCTTAAATATTATGAATACAATAATAAAAAAGGTTATTAATATTAAATTGTTTAAATCAACTTCCAGCATTTAAAATAGCTCTTATACATGACTCTTCTTAGAATTTTGGAACTCTTTTAAAATGGATATTAAAAAACATTTTAGTTTCCTTTTCTTTGTGTATATGATTAATGTATGTGTTTCTGTTGTCCACATAATATTTCAAGTAGCTTGTTCCTTCCAGTATTAGGTAAGTAATAATATTATTAGGTTGTCTGAGTTTCTTTTAGTCTTTCTTTCATTTTATTTTTGTTACTGATATCTAATAATATTAGACATATTTCTTTGATAAAGTATTGTCATTATTAATTTTTTATTAATGTTTTTCATCTTACTTTTCTTGCTTTCATCATGAAACTCAGGTTGTTTTACACTTTATGAGAATGGATGTGTGGATGCAAGTTCAGATCTTATTGAAGACAACTTCTTCATTTCCAATTCAGGCTCCTAAATTAACATTTGTAGAATTAAAAAAAAAATAACCCAAGTTTTGCCATAAAGTGCATAAAAATTAATAAGAATGCTTTAGATAAGAAATAAGAAAAATTTGATAGTACAACTATTGCAATGAGGTATGAGCAGATAATATGATGTAAAATAAAAATGGGAGAATGAAGATTGCAGATATTAATGGCTAAATTTCAATGATGTCTGCTGGTTGGCTTTCATAATCCCATCAGTGAGGCATTGTTAGGGAGACTGTGAGGTCAAATCTTGTTGAAAATAATATGTTTATTTCAAATTCATGCTGGTTACTTAACATTTGTAAAATATAAAATGACCTAGATGTCATCATGAAAATATAACAAAGTAAGATTTAAAAAAAAAAACTGATAAAAAATTAATAGCAATGCTTTAGTTTATTTAAGAAATATATTTAACTTAAGGCTAGGTGTGAGATGATAATAGGTTGTAAAGTAAAAACTGGAATATGAAGAATGTAGATAATGGCTAAATTTTAATATCTGATGGTTGACTTTCATAATCCCATCAGTAAGGCATTGTCTGACAGGATATGAGTTCAAATCTTGTTGAAGGCAGTGTCTTTATTACTGTAACAGGAGAGTTTGGAAGAAAGATTTATTCTCCCATTTGCATTTTTATATCCATGATATAATAACACCTTATTTCACAAACAGAACATAATGGCTGACAGGAAAAGGAATGACAAACATGCTTGGATTGTGGAGAGACTTTTAAGCAGAATGAAAGCAGTCAAATAGAGTGAAAAGAAAACAAAAAGATGTCCTATATATAATATGGAGATTCTTCTCTGTTTCTGGAGAAGCCATGTTTAGGACTCCATATTCAAATGGGTTAGATTCATCTACTGTATCCCAAGTGAGGACATATTTTATGAACTGGAAACAGCGAGTTTTGCCAAATTGAGGACTGCTAACCAGAGATTTCTATATCTAAGGAAGATATCTAACAGAATTATGGGCTTGTAAGCTGTAGCATTTGGCAGCTGGCTGCCCCATCACTAAGCGGACATCATGTGACCTACGTGACTATCTCAATCGAAGGAAGATAACTGCCTTAGAATATGAAATGACCAAAGTTTTGTAACAAAATAAGATTAAAGTGAGACTAATTCATCAAAGGAATCTGTCTGTTATTTTGGGATATAAGTAAGCAACAAAAATAAAACAATATGGCAATAATAAATGACTTTGCTTCTTCTAAAAAATTCAAACTTTGATTGAGTCATTCGTTTTCTATGGCTTATCAACCCCTTGCAGGTTATTATAAGAATCTTTTTTGAAATAATAATGATTTAGTGATACAAGTCTTAGTAATTAACCCACAGCTGGGGGTAGAAGAGGTGGATTAATATCTTTCCCCAAGAGTATTTGCATATAAGTGAATATAACAAACCCAACAGGAATTAAAACTTGGCTCTTTAATTAACAATTCTAAGCCATTATCCATTACACCACCTGCATATCCAAGCTTACAGTGCCTGGTATTCCCAAGTGGTCACCCATCTAGGTACTAACCAGACTTGACATTGCTTAACTTCAGTGATCATGCGGGAACCGGTGTTTCCATGTGATATGGCTGTACCCCAAATTCTAACTTAAGTCTATGACATCTCTTACAATTTAGTTTAAACATAACAAAGTATAGAAAATCAAGTCAAGAATTGAGAAGTAATAATACATGACACTAATCTTTTGAAATCTTGACTGAATGGATTTTTATACATTTTCAATATGGCACATGATGAAGGCAAACATTTTGTTCTTTCTAATTTCTATAATATAAACATTTAAAACAGAAATAATTGAAATGTTCACTTTTTCATTCATTTAAATGCATTCCAGTTTATATTTACTTCAATTATAGGGGAATTTTCATTTTAATATTTATTAACTTTTGAATCCAAAATTCAAAAATTTCCTCAACAATTTTCTGTCACAGACAATTGAAAATAATTCAAATCAATTATTGGATTCAATCAATATACAAAGGCCTTAAAGTATTGCTGGTGAGGAATAAGAATATCTAATCCATGTTATTATAAACTATGTTTTTCTCTCGGCATTCTATATCTACAGAGTGTGATGAATAAATTGTTATCTAAATTACACAAAAATGAAAAAAAACACTAACACCTCATTTCAACAGATATTTACCAAAATTACACAAAAATATCCTGAAATACTAAAGAGTAAATTTATTTCTATAAAATCACCATTGGCTTCAGCCATGGCCTCCAGATGACTTCAGAATCTTCTGCAACTCTTCTGGACAGCCTCCTTGTTTAATTTGGTGAATTCTGCCATAATCCTTGCCTTCAGTTTATCTTTGGTTTTAAAAGGAGTTTTTTGGTCTCTCGCTCAACTTTGACCCCACACATAATAATAAAGAAGGTTGCAGTCTAGGAAGTTAGGTGGCCAGATGTAAAGGGTGATGCAGTCGCAGAAACTGTCTGACAGCCATGACTGGGTTCCCCTGCTTGTATCACATGGTGCAGAGTCCTGTTGCCAGACATCAGGTCCTCCAGCAGTCACCCTATTGAACCAGGGCAACACTACCTCCTCAAGGCACTTGATGTAGGCCTCCATGTTGATTCTGTGAGATTATGAATGGAGATATAACATTGCTATTACTAGTGATCATCCCAAACACCATGATATTGACTGGATATATCATCCAACTCTTTCTGAATCCTCTGCACTGTCCTCAGATTGACACCCAAACATTCTAAAATGTTTGTATTGGAGCTTCTGGCATGAATACCAAACAATACAGCATGCCATTTCCAAATTTCTAGCAGAGTGAATTGTGTCATGGTGCTCTTTTTCTCATAGATGGTGCCCAACTGACCCTACTATACTGTGCAGTTGACAAAATCAAAAACAAATAACGTACATGAGTGAAATTAAAAATATCAAATAGCAACAATTTACCCATCGCCCTCTGTATATTCAATGTATATATTAGATAGCATTTGATGTTGTAATTATCTATATTTTTTTAAAACAGAGATTTTAATATTCATACTTGACAAACAAAAGATGAATCTGCTTTCTCTGACATGGATGCAAAATAGTTTTGGAATATTGTTTATTCATGAACATCATGAATGTCATTATCATTTCATTCCCGATCTGAATTTTGATAACGGCTTTGTATAAAATCCCTGAGAGACAAGATCATTGATATTAGTGATAAACCATTATACATCAAAAACTTGTAAGCAGATGTTGTTCATTTGAAATATAAAGCTTTTACAAATAATATGATGAAGCATGTAATAAAATTTTCATAACATGGAAACAGACTCGATGATGACAGAATATCATTTTTGTAAAAGAAAATATTCATAATATTAACAAAAATTCAAACTGTCTTCAATTTGAATGCACATTTATTTCTCACTATCCATTTATCTTAAAATTATGAAATATTGCTTCATTTGTTAACCAAATATTCTATGATAAACTTTTAAATCATTTTTTCTATTCCGAACAAGTTTATTTTAAATAAGAGACTAATAAAATGCTAAATAAGTGTGAGAAAATTGTTTCTGAGTAAATTTTATCTGTGAAATGAATAAACAAATAAACATAGCAAGGGTAGAAATAATTTTTTTTAATTCAGTCATTTTCCCTTTTTCATAGTATGGCTTCAATTTGCCTTTTCTATAAATATCTTCATAGTTATTGATGAATTTTCTTCTATGTTACCTAGACTCTGAATTTAAGCACAGTAGTATTACATTGGCTGCAAGGTCACATCATTTTACAGTTGGATTTTCTAGATGCAACCATAATTTTTTATATAAATAGTTTTCTTTTTTTGCACTTCCCACTTATAAAACTCTCTTCTGGCTTCTTGCTTTCCAGTCAAGTTTGATCTTCAAAAATTTAAATGCAATGTCAGTCATTATCTTCTGTTTTCTTAATTACTGTTCTTTTATTGTTCTCACTCCTTAATAATGTTTTCTTTCTTCTTATAATGTTTTGCAGTCTTAGTAGCTTTGTTGAAATGTTCAGACTAGTCAATAATTTTCAGTTTTTTATTATCTTAAAATAATTATTTTCAACAGATGTTTAATGCTCATTAAAAAGTCATAAAATTATCAAAATTACTTTCACACATTAGTATAGATGAGTTCTAATGTGTATTTTATTTCATATTCAAGTATGAAATTCACCAAAATGTAATGATCTCCTTTCTGCAAGCAGTTCTTAAAAAGCAAAAGTAATAAATAGCTGGTTGGAGACTCTTCTAAGATTTCCTATGATTTTGCAAACATGGTCTGTGAACTTTTGCCTTGACTGTAAAATAACCAATGTGCTGAAAAAAAAAAAAAAAATTGAATAAAGAAATTTTTTAAAAGGACAAAGTGATCAAAACTGCACCAGTTTTTGAATGTCATCTTTGTATAGAGTCAAAAATACATTTCTTTTATTCTTACATTTTCTTATAAAAAAAAAAAGTACGTTGTGCTGAACAAAAGCAGAGCAATCAAAAAAGAGCTTTGAATTATTTTTAACATTAAATAACGTAACCCTACATGAGTTATTAAATCTATAATATGTGTATATAATTTTTATCATAAAGACCAATACTTGTGTGTATGCATTCTTATTCCTAGAGTATTTGAGCCAAATATAGAGCTATAAAGACAAAAAGACTGTGTCTGTCTGTTTGTCACTTTATCCATCTATTATCTACAAAAAGAAAAAAGAAAAGAAAACAACCTTGATAAAACCAGGCACATAATCCTACCAACCAACTCAATAATAACTTCAACTGAAAAGAATTTATCTCATCTTAATATGAAACTTGTCACAACAACTTCAAAAGCAATAAAAAAAAAGATTTTAATCATTTCACCCCAATCAAGGCAATAAAGTTACTAAGAGGCAAGAGGCTACTCAATGCAAAAGAACAATAAAAGAACAGGAAAAGAACAGGAATTAAGAATTATTTGAGCCAAATATAGAGCTATAAAGACAAAAAGACTGTGTCTGTCTGTTTGTCACTTTATCCATCTATTATCTACAAAAAGAAAAAAGAAAACAACCTTGATAAAACCAGGCACATAATCCTACCAACCAACTCAATAATAACTTCAACTGAAAAGAATTTATCTCATCTTAATATGAAACTTGTCACAACAACTTCAAAAGCAATAAAAAAAAGGTTTTAATCATTTCACCCCAATCAAGGCAATAAAGTTACTAAGAGGCAAGAGGCTACTCAATGCAAAAGAACAATAAAAGAACAGGAAAAGAACAGGAATTAAGAATTATTTGAGCCAAATATAGAGCTATAAAGACAAAAAGACTGTGTCTGTCTGTTTGTCACTTTATCCATCTATTATCTACAAAAAGAAAAAAGAAAACAACCTTGATAAAACCAGGCACATAATCCTACCCAACCAACTCAATAATAACTTCAACTGAAAAGAAATTATCTCATCTTAATATGAAACTTGTCACAACAACTTCAAAAGCAATAAAAAAAAAGATTTTAATCATTTCACCCCAATCAAGGCAATAAAGTTACTAAGAGGCAAGAGGCGACTCAATGCAAAAGAACAATAAAAGAACAGGAATTAAGAAAACACAAGATAACAATTGATATTGCATTTAAATTTTTGAAGATCAAAGTTAACTGGGAAGCAAGAAGCCAGAAGAAAGTTCTGTAAGTGGGAAGTGCAAGAGAAGAAACTGTTAGCGTAGAACCTGGGGTTACATCTGGCCATTTCAAGTGCACAATGATGAGACCTAGTTGACAATCTAGTACTGCACTTCTGTAAGTCTCAGCACCAAAGAGGAAAGCACCAAAGAGGAAAGCTATCAGAACAATTAGCATGAAAATATTAATAGAAAAAGATGCTACATTATCATGGTAAGAAAGTGACTGGAGCTGAGATACCAGGTGAGAACTGATAACGTTTCAGATTCTTCTTTAGATTTTATCAAGAATCTCTAAGCCCATAGCAGACATACCAGAACAGATGTGGTAACAATATTGAATGGTTAGATGAATAGTATACTTATAAATATAAAATAGATTCTCATGTGAAAAATAGTGTAGCATGACATAATGAACCAATTTTCTTAGCAGCAAACTTAGCAATTTCATTAACACAGAACAAAATAATAACATTATTAAACATGACTTATGAACTGACAAAATTGTCTACAAAAATGTCTTACAAAATATGTAGGTGAGTCATCTATGAATTTAAATAAAAGATTATATGAGCGTATGAAGAATAAAAGTAATAAAAATGAAGTTAGCATCGAAATTTTATTTATATCAAAATTTTTACACACACACACACACACACACACACACACACACACACACACACACACACACTGCAGTTCAAAAGTTTGAGGACACTCCTGGGAATTTTTTAAATTGACCCAAAAAGTAGTTGTTTTGTACTTTAAATAAGAGAAAAATAAGAAAAAGTGAGAGATGATTTTTTATTAGAAATTTTATTATGACAAAAAGAAAAAAGCATTTTATGATTAAATTTTGCTCTCGTCAAAATATCCTCCTTTAGCCTTGATTACTGCAGCACAAATTACT